TGCTTTAAAGGAAAGTAAGGGAAAAAAGCTTTCAATTAAGTCGACGCCTACAGATTTAATAAAATAAAAGGCCAGAAAAAACAGGATTGGAGAGTTAAAAGATTGGGAGATTATAAAAAATGTTGAAAAAATATTTGATAAATACCAAGGAACGGATTGAGAGAAAACGTGAGTTGGATTTTAGGTTTGGGTGCCCCGTCCCATACCTGATACATATATACAGAACAATATTATGAGGCTACGGACATATAGGGACGGACATATTGGGATATTTATATGCGAACAGCTACCCAACTGATTTCGGGATCTACGGCCACAGGGTCTTAGATAGTACATTACCCTATTTAAGAAAAGTTTTTATACTTTAGAACCAACGTAAACACACAAGAGAGTATCTTTCTCATAGGAGTTCCCCCATAAGAATATCTTCCAAAGCTTCAGTTGGTGTGGTTCTGAGGGTGTTTGACTCTTCCAGAATAAATGTCAGAATAAAAAAATCAGGATTAAAAATTAGAGAGAAGATACGCCTTCGCCTAGAGCCGGAAAGTTTAATAATTCCCCTTGTGTTCCTTTCCTATCCCCATCAAAAAAAGTCGAGAACATCCTAAAGAGAAAGCTGAAGGAGAAAAAGCACATTAATAAAATTAACTCAAATTTTTTTATTTCAACCTTGAAGCAACAAATAAATATCTAAAAAGTAAAAGTACTTGAAAAGGAAAGAGAGTATAATCCAAAGCATGGAAAAATAAAAAAATAAAAAAAATTTGGGTTAATCCTCTCCATTTTCCCTTTTTTAATTGTTTGGGAATGTAAAACAATTGGAGGGATTGGGGAAAAACAAGCTTCTACTAAACTTTTTTTTAAATTTATCGAAGAGATTTTTAAAGCGCATGATTAGTCGAGAATGAGATGGGGGATGTTCTGATGTCAAAAATTGAAATTTAAAAAAATCAGAACAAAAATCATTCCCATAGGGAAAGGAGGATAAGAAAAAAACAGAAATAAGGATGAGAATATAAATCAGAATTAAAAATCAGAATTAAAAATCAGAATAAAGAAATTTAACGGAAAATAATGAAAGAATCGATTAAATCTAGTTTGCAAACCTTGGAGAGCAAGTTAAAAAATTTTTTGAGATTAATCTTGATTGGTATAATTGATAAATTAAATCCTAACCAGACTCCATGTAAAGCATATAGCTAATTATTTCCTAAGGCTGTGCACTAGGTAGTATGGTGTAATGGCTAACACATCAGTCCGGTCTACTGAAGATAGCTATAGCTAAGATGCTTTACTTATTGTTAGACTACAAGCTTCAACTCATTTTTTGTATCACAGACTTACTTACAATTAACATAAAAACGGTAAATAAAGGTTTAAATTTTTTTAATGTCCTTACTCAAAAAAGGAAAATGCACTTTCACAGAGATTAAGGCTTATAAGGGAAAAATAAATTATTAGAGGATTATAGCCGCAACAAAATATATATTTATTTATTTATTGTGCACAGCAGCGGTTTTTGATCTGTCGAGAGATGGGTAAAATGACGAGTTGGGCCGAAAAAAGGAGTCGACGGAAGCTATAAAAGGGATAAAGAAGATATTTAGAAAATCAAGGGAAAATTTAGTAATAAATAAATAAATTGGGGGGAAGAGAAAATGATTGGAAGAAAATATATCGAAGAGAAAAACAGGTTTAATTAAAAATGAAAAATATTAAAGATTATTATTTTTGCCTAGAGAAGGAAAAGTTTTTTTTTTTGCATTTTTGTAAACTTTAAGTTTATAATAGTTAATATAAAACTTAAGTTTGTAAAACATTCCGGAAAGTGAGACAGTATTTTATATTAAACATTTTCCGGAAAACCTTTAATTATTTCCGGAATACTAGATAATTTTCTTTTTCCGGAAAATGCTTTCCGGAAAAACGAGACAATATCTTTAGTATTAGGAGAATAATTAAAAGTTTTCCGGAAAAATTCCGGAAACTAATTAAAACCCTTCTGTAAACTAATAAGTTTTCCGGAAAATAAATAAAACATTCCGGAAAACATTTTCCGGAAAAAGAAAATAATATTTAGTATTCCGGAAATAATTAAAAGTTTTCCGGAAAATAATTTAAAAATTCCGGAAACTAATTAAAACACTTCAGTAAACTACTAAGCTTTCCGGAAAATAAGAAAATATTCCGGAAAATGCTTTTCTGGAAAAACGATCCGGAAAATAATTGAGCTGTCCAGAAAAGAAGTAAAATATTCCGGAAAAAGACTATTTAATTTATTTCCGGAAAATGTTTGCATTATTCCTCAAAATATTAAATTACTAAAACCTTAACAAAATATTTATTTAAATTCAAATTTATTCTTGTATATTTTAATCAAATCTAGAAAAAATCTTAGAAAATAGTAGAGAATGTTTTTTTGAGTAAACAAGATAAAATAAAAATGTCTTTTCCAATCTACTTATCAAACACTTTTAACTGTTGCATATATCCAATGACATCTCAAAGAAAATTATTTAAATAATTTTATTTTTAAATTACCCAATCATGCCTTTTTTGCTACCATGTAAAGCATCATTTAATTCTTTTATGGACAATTTATTTATGGGACGGTCAAAAATACGTGCAGCTATAACCAGTGGAATTTCCTAAAAATAATTTTTTAGTTCCGGTAAATTTCCAGAATTCTTCAGGAAAATTTTTTCCGGAAAAATTTTTTTTTAATTTTTCCGGAAAGAAATTTTTTGCAATTTTTTCCGGAAATTTCCTGAAAAAATTTCCTGAAAAATTTTTCCGGAAAAATTTTTCTTCCGGAAAAATTTTTTTTCCCATTTTTTCCTGAAAAAATTCCGGAAAGAAAATTTCCGAAAAATTTTTATTTACGAAAAAATTTTTTTTCTTCTTACCCCTCCAGAACGTGCTCTGCTACTGATGAAAATATCCCACAATTGCTCTGCTCTACTCGAATTCTAACATTGTAAAAATAAATAAAATTATAAATTTTTTACAATTTGAGTAAATTGAAGCATTTGCCTGGTCGAGAAAAGGTAGAAGCTCTTCTTTTGTTGGAAGGCACACACGCAAAGAAAGGTCATCATACGTTCCGGCTGGCAATCCTTAAATTTAATTTTTACTTAATATTTTTAAAACAAGATATAATATTCCGGAAATGAAAATAAAACCGGAAAGGGATTTAATAATTCAGGAAAATTAATTAAAGGAGATAATGTTTCCGGAAAAGAAATAGACTTTCCGGAAAACGAGTATTTTATTTTATTTTCCTGAAAGTTTAGTTCTTTTCCGGAAATGATACATATATTTATTTTTCCGGAAAATAGAATACTCGTTCCGGAAAAATTATATTTTAATGAATATTTTCCGGAAAACTAGTATTTTATTTTCCTGAGTTCTTTTCCGGAAATAGTATACCTATTTAATTTTCCGGAAAATAGAATACTCGTTCAGGAAAATAATATACCACTTTCCGGAAAACAAATATTCGTTCCGGAAAATGAACAAACTTTCCGGAAAAATTATATTTTAATATATATTTTCCGGAAAAATATCTAAAAGAATAATAGACTCTATTTTATTTCCGGAAAATTATTTAATCTTTCCGGAAAGTTTAAAAACAATAATAACAAATTCTCATGCCTTGAGCACTGCATTCAGCAGGTTTGTTTCCTTTAAAAATTTGAATAAAGCTTTTGAGCGAGCCTCCCATAGTTTTACAAATATCACAATGGACACTGAAAACAGCAAAACAAATAAAAATACTTTTAAAAATTTTAGCTCACCAAGAACCTATTCCCCCACAATTGTCTTTGTCTGGATTAACACAGCGTTCAGGCTTGCCGTGAATACCAATTCTTGTCTCAACATGGACATAATATTTTTTGGAGCCGTCCAAGCCTGGTTGGTTTACCTAGACAAGGAAGATACTTAAGAAATTCCCTCTAAGATACCTCCACTTTCCCTCCACTCATTTGGAAGCATTTATGACCTGAACTGTCTGTTTCCTCCTTAAAATTGACTCCTGTAGACTTGTAACTTGGAAACTTTATGAGCATATTGTTCTTGTTTGGGCCTGTATTTTAGTTAAAAAAATTTGTTTTTAAGTAGACTAATCCAAACCGGAAGATGGGGAACAAGGAAAATGTCTTTCAATTTTAACGGCTATATCGGCATCTACAAAAGAAGGTAGGAGACCGGTTGATATGATGAACAATAAAATTGTTTGTAGGAATATCAGCCGATTAAAAGCCATTTTTGTTGTTGTTCTCCGTTTTGGAGAGAATAGTGGTGAGGTGTTAGCAGAATTCTCAGTTGTGGAAATAATGCTTTTCCTTTTCCCTTCCTGTTTCATTTTTCTATATAATGTGAATTGGAATAATAATTTTTTATTGGGGAAATAGTATGGAAAATTATGAGGGTAAAGTTTTATTTTATCAAGTTTATAAACTTAGGTTTATAAATTTAATATAAAACTTAAGTTTATTAAACTTTTCCGGAAACAATGTGTAGTTTGTTTTTAATTATTGTTTCCGGAAACTTAAGTTTGTCAAATATTTTAATATAAAACTTAAGTTTGTGAAGCATTTTCCGGAAACAATTTTAAACATGTTTCCGGAAACTTAAGTTTATTAAACATATTCCGGAGTTTTCCGGAAACGACGTGTGATTAGTTTAATGTTTCCGGAAAATAATTAAAACATTCCGGAAGCAAATATATAGTTTTCCGGAATTAGATAAACAACAGTGTAATACGGAATTTCTATTATATTTTAAACAATAATTAAAAGGTTCTAGTATGTTGCGCTAAATGAATGATGAATAAAACAATAAAAATCAACAGTCTGTTAGAATTAACGAGGCAAGAGGCGTAATTTTATTTCATTTTTTTTGCCCATAAAATTTTGTTTTCAAAATCACTCTGAGCAACAAAAATAACAGAAAAATATTGTGATTTTTACATGTATTTTTGTGATGGAACTCCTTTCTTAGAGTAATGAGGTTTTTATAAAAAAATATAAATAAAATGCACACACAAAAAATATCCAAAACCTTGAAATTAATGTAAAAAAGAGTTGTGTATGTGTGTGTGTAATAATGTAGAAAATTGCGCAGAAATGATAGAGAAGGGAAACAACTTTTTTTGTGTGTGATTGGAAGGGCGAGGGCCGAGGAGGGAAAAAATTAATTGACGTCGACGTCGATCTACCTATTTTATTAAGGTTTGTATGGAGAGGTTGGAATGACATGACTATTTAAAAAGGCAAGAGTAAAACTTAATTTAAGGAATAAGGAAGGTATTCACAATTGGGAGGGTTTTTAGAATTGTTTTTTATCTTCCAGTCGATGCATTCTTTAAATTTTTGAACAAAAAGCTCTTTTTATTTATGTCAAGTAACGTATTATTGCCGATGTCCTCTATTGTGATTGACGTCATTTATTACAAAGAAATCTGTCGTTGAGCGAACTTTTTGACGAGCTTTTTGCCACTTCTCAGCTCACGAGCTGTTAGCCAAGCTTATTGCCACCTTACAGCTCACAAACTTTTTAACGAGCTTTTTGCCACCTCTCAGCTCACGAGTGTTTTGCCAAGCTTATTTCATCCTTTTCAGTTTTAACTTTTCTCTCCCTATAACCTTTAACAACAATTTTAGTTTAATTTTTACATAACTAATAGTTAATATTATTTGTATATTAGCTACAAAGGTTAACTAATAAAAAAAGATCACACAGGAACTCTTTAAAAAAGTTGCTGCGCAATCAAAATAATGAATCTTTGTCTTTCCCCCACTTTTATACTATTGACAGTCGAATAAAAAATAGAACCTAAAAAGTGTCATTTATAAAATTAATGATGGACGAAAAGTTAATAGGAAGGTCAAACCTCCCAGACGTGTGTAAAAGAGTCTGAGAAGTGAAGAAAAAAATAATATACTTAATGAGAATCCTTCCTACAAAGGACCTATCTCAGGATAAATCTAGGGATATTATACAAAATTTATAAAATTAAGACGAGCTTTTTGCCGCCTTTTTAGATACGAGTTTAGTGACGAGCTTTTTGGCCCCTCAGAAGCAACGAGCGTTTTGCAAAGCCGACTTTTTGCCCCCTATTAAAGACGAGCTTCTTGCCCCAGAAATATTTACCTATATTAAAATTTAAACATTTAAAGATCAGATAAATTTAGGTTGTCCTAAATATATAAAAATATAAAAAAACCAAATTCAATGTTCACGACGTCGCAAAATTGCTAATAAATAAAAATACTTATGGAAGAAAATCTATTCGATTTTTCTGCACCACCACAATCTCCTTTTTAGCTAACAACATCTCCCTTCATCTATGTTTAAATAGACCGGTTTATTATACAAAAATCTCCCAAAATCATATAAAACGCTAAAATAAGGGGAAAGAAGGGGAAAGAAGGAAGAAGGAAAAGAAGTGTTTGTGGAGAAGCGGGGGGATATTAAATTGTGGAAGAATAACGTTAAAGATTTGTTGTATGAATGATATCAAAAATTAGTAGTGTGATGAATCCTTAGCTATAAACTAAATTCCCCGATAATCATTTGCTTTATAATATATAATATATTTTTAATCTTCTTACCTTTTTTTTCATAAATACATATTAATCTCATACATTTATTTTAATAGAAACAATGTTTCTCTAGTTTAATGTTTTACAAATTTAATTTTAAGCGTGTTTTTGTATTTGTTTATATTCAAGTTTGTAATGTTTTTGTAGGACTAATGTTTTTGTTTGGTTTTTATTTGTTAAAGTTTGTAATGTTTAACTTGTTGTTGGTTTTCATGTTTGTTGTAGCCCTATGTTTTGTTCGTTTTACTCGAATAAATGTTCATTGTTCGTTTGTTTTTATGTTTATGTTTTGTTCGTTCAATTTTATAAAATTTTTGTCTGTTTTCAAGTTTGTGTTTTGTTTGTTTCACTTTGTTTTTGTTGTTGTGTTTGTAATGTTTAATTCATGTTTGTTTTTCTTAAGTTTGTAAATTCATTATTATTAAAATGTTTTTGTCTTCAAGTTTGTTTTGTTGGATTATTACAATGTTTTTGTTTGTTTTATTGCTCTATTATTCTTGTTTTTACTAAAGTTTGTTTTATTGTTCAAGTTGGTTTTAAATGACCCGTCAAAAACATTCAACAACACAATCTTGGCTACATTTTTATTCTTCCCAATTTTATATTTATTTTTATTTATTTGCCTCAATATTTTTGATATTTCCTTCGATTCAATTGAAATTTGACAATGACGAATTTGAATTAAATTTACAGTTGATAAAGCACCAACCCTGTGCTTTTAGACAAGACAAAAGCAAATGGGAAAGAAAAGTAGAGTTTGAAGGGGGGAATGAAAAGGAAGGGCCGAAACTAATTCCGAGGCCAAATGAAACTAACGTAACCTTAAAAAATTATTTTTTTTAAATTAAATTTATAAAAATATAAAGTGTTATTCAATTGGTGGTAAAGTTACTGTTTATAGTGAATTTAAAGGAGAATTCAGCATTTATTTGGAATTGCGTAGCTCAGCAAATAAAAAGGTAAATGAATTGCTAATTGTAGGCTACAAAACATAAAAACTTGAATTTTTAAACACTCGCCTTAAACAAACTTTGCAAACTTGAAAATAAAACAAAATTAAACTTAGTATGATAAACAAAACACAACAAACATTCCTTAAAAATTTCCAAACAAAAACTAATTAAATTCTGTCAAACTCAAAACAACAAACTTTACAAACTTGTTTAAACCTTTCACTACAAACTTTCACAACAAACCTAAAAACAAGAAAAACAAAGTTTGTTAAAATGTTTGTTTGCCAAACATACACTAAAGAAACAACAAATGTTTCTAAAGGATGTTTTATAATGTTTTTAAACATTTTTATGTTTTTGAATGTTTCTTAAATGTTTTTAATGTTTTTGAATGTTTCTAAACATGTTTATGTTTTTGAATGTTTCTCTAAACGTTATGAATGTTTCTCAAATGTTTTCAATGTTTTTAAAATATTTCTTACTTCATTAATTTTTAAGCAAGTCCCTGAACAGTGCAATAATCGTAGAGAAGACGGGTGTGGAGGGTTCGGTTCATGGTAATTTTTTAAAGTCTTTATTTAATTTTAATTAATTTTCAAGTCTTTATTGCGATGCCTGTCAAACACTCGAAACAAACAAAGAACTTAAAGCACAACTTTTACTAGATGGAAAGCCTTTAAGTTGTGGGGAAGGAGTTAAACCTGGGATATATGAAAATATGGAATTAGCTTTCTGTCTCCCAAATGCTGATGAAATGTTGAAAAGTCAGGGATTGACTAAAGAAACATTTAAGAGTTTAATACAATCTGAGGTAATTGAATTTTAAAAATCCTCTAATATTTTAAAATAAAAGGATGGAGGAAACAATGTTCATTCACTTGGTGTTTTTGCTACAATTTATGTTTTTGATAGGTAAGGGAATTAAATAAACTTTGTTTTTTGTTTTTACAAAAACAAGTTTTACAATTGTAAACATAAAACTTAAGAACTAAAACCTAAAACTTGAACTTAAAGAAATAACAAAACTTGATTTACAAAACTTGTTTTACAATTGTAAATTTTAAAAACTTAAAATATATTGTTTTTACAAATTAAAGTTTACAAATTGTAAAAACTTGAAACTTGAACTTTAAAACAGAAATTATAAAACTTATATTTTTACAAATTAAATTTACAATTGTAAACTACAAAACTTGTTTTACAATTGTAAATTTTAAAAACTTAAAATATATTGTTTTTACACTTAAATATAAAAAAGTTTGAATTTTACAATTTGTAAAAACTTAAACGTTGTTTTTACAAATTAGTTTATAATTGTGAACTTAAAAACTTGAATTTAAAAGAAAAATAATGTTTCAAAAACTTAAATTACAATTGTAAACTTAAAGTCTGGATTTAAACTTAAAACATTGTTTCTACAAATTAAAGTTTACAAATTGTAAAAACTTAAAACATTTGAATTTATATTTAAAGGGATGTAAGAAAATTAATGCAAACACAACAAAAAGTTGAGAATGTTTACAGAAAGTCTAAAAAATCGCTTTTTAAAGATGAACCTCTCCCTCCCGACGTGTAAGCAAAAAAAAATATTTTTTTTAATTAAAAAAAATTTTTTTTTTATTTTTTAAGTTATTGGTCACTACCTTTTAATAGTTTAATTAAAGAACAGAGAGCATTTGTTGTTTGTCACAAAATATTTGGAAATGTACAGATACGTACACAACCTATATCTTAACACTTAAACAAATAATTTTAATTTTTTTTGTATAAAATTGAAGTTAAAAAATAAATTTTTTTAAAATTTATTGAGTTAAAATAAATTATTTTTCAATAAAAATATTGAAAAAAATAAATAATCAAATAAAAATTGTTTGGAAGCGAAAAGAACTTGCATTACCCCTACAATTACCCCTCAATCCCTCAATGTCTTCTAAAAAATCCCCTACAACAAATATTAATTTAAAAATATTTACTCTAGCCAAGCCAAAAAATAATAAACATAGATTTGTGCTAAATACTCAGAAAGTGCCCGGTTCACAGTACCATGAATTGGTTGCGTCTCTGAAGCATGCTTGCACAAATGCATCAATACTTTTGGCAAAAATGATGGGACAGAATGGGGAAAGGTTAAAACAATAGAAGCCAAAGCTAACACACCACTGTGTCTTTGAATTGATTGTTTGGGAGAAGAAGCGAAGGGCTTCTGCACTTTTAACAAGTTGCACGTCTCCACAAATTATTTCAATTCGGACTAAAAAATTCCCAACTTAATCTACTCAGAGTTTCGGCACTTGCTTCACGAACTTCAAAACGGGCATCAACCAAAAGTTTGAGAAGTAACGATTTTCGACAAAAAGCTCCATCAACTTTTGGTTCTCAAACTGTTGGTTGATGCCCGTTTTGAAGTTCGTGAAGCAAGTGCCGAAACTCTGAGTAGATTAAGTTGGGAATTTTTTAGTCCGAATTGGAATAATTTGTGGAGACGTGCAACTTGTTAAAAGTGCAGAAGCCCTCGCTTCTTCTCCCAAACAATCAATTCAAAGACACAGTGGTGTGTTAGCTTTAGCTTCTATTGTTTTAACCTTTCCCTATTCTGTCCCATCATTTTTGCCAAAATATTGATGCATTTGTGCAAGCATGCTTCAGAGACGCAACCAATTCATGGTACTGTGAAACGGGCATTTTCTGAGCATTTAGCACAAATCTTTGCTTAATATTTTTTGGCTTGGCTAGAGATAAATATTTTTAAATTAATATTTGTTGTAGGGGATTTTTTAGAAGACATTGAAATTTAAAAATAAACGAATTACCCCAGAAGCTTAAAACTGGTCCGAAAACATAATTTTTTGACATTTTTGTTTGCCCACTTCAAGAAAAAATATATGGCCATCTCATTAAAACCTCCTATAAGCCAACCAGTTTCCAAACAAAATTAAAACCAAAAAAAAAATTTTTAAAGGCAAAAATATTCAAACTTGTCTCCAATTTTACGTTCAAGCCATTCGATAAATTAAATGAAGTCCAGAATCAGTCTCCACCTTGAAAAAATTTTTTTTAATTCAAAAAAAAACAAATTCCCTTACAATGTCAGACATCTCCCCAACTTTCAAAGCAAACGAAGCATCTTCAAAAGGTTTTTGCATTTGTTTACGGCCAAAAAATCCCAAATCTCCTTCCCTTTTTGCAGAACTACAATCACTATATTCTTTTGCAATTTTTTTGAAACGCGAAAATTTTCCTCCTCCATCTTCTGATAATTTTAACAATTCGTCACGATAAGCTGAAAAACAAAAAAATTTAGTGGGAAATCTATCCGTTTTATTAATTTATCCCAAAAAATTTCTAGGGAAGCTTCTAAAGAATAACTTTATGGGTATGAATAAAGGCAGTGACTGAATAAAATGAAGGCAGTGACCAAAAAATGTTTTTAAAGACTAAGATTGTTGGTTGACCAAATTTCTCGGTTAATCGAAACCTAACCGACAAACTGAATCCAAAAACTTAGTTTTAATTAAAACCGACACGGAAAAAAAATAAATCCAAAATTCATGAAAGATGGAGAAAGGATACCTATCAGGGCTGGACGAAATCTAAAAATAAAAAGCAAAATACGAAACTATGCGAATGATGCACAACGCATAAATAGCCTAACCCTGATACCCGTCATAACTTGTCAAAGACCCAACTACCTCCCCAACCCAACTATCTCACCCACCCAATTTTCCGCCAAAACTTTTAAAAGAAAAACCTTCAAGAGTAACTTTCGCATCTTCCTTGGATCGAATAATCTTCTCACTTCTCCAACTGCTTGGATTCCTCGAGCCTTCGTGTTTAACCAAAATATGGAAACATCTAACTTTTGTTGGTTCTTTAGCAAGTTCTTGAGCATCTTTAATTGGCCTATCCCATTGACTTTTTTGTGTTAAAACGTTGAAATAATATTCACGGTCTGAAAAAAATTTAAGTTAATAAAGAGTAATCCCTGTCCCCCTCATCCTATTTTTGTCCTTGAGATTTACACAAGATCTGTGGTATACAACCAGTTAATATATTTAGGAGGTCAGTCAATCATTCGAATATGTTAATGAAAAATTGGGAAATTGAAGGAAGAAAGTCCGGCCATTATACTCATCAGACCCGTAGCCAGGATTTTTTTCAAGCCCCCTACCCCCTTGGCTACGGGCCTGATACTCATCTCAAGCAAAAAAGAGTCCATCTTACAAGACTAACTCTTTAGAGGGCAATCCCTTGTGAGCAAATGACTCTAAATCTCTGAGGAGTTTATCTTATAAGTTGACCCAAGAATAGAAGGGTGAAGGGAACGAAACTTGGAATTATCCCAAAAAATGTTCAATTTAAACTAAAAGAAACCTGAAGATCTGCTTAAACGTTTCTCCCATCCTTTAGGTAAAGGAGGTTCACCAGCCTCATCTTCATTTTCGGTAGTTGACAGTTTTCGTTTTTTTATTTGTTCGTTTGCAGACATTTTTTAAAGTTTCAAAAATAATTTAAATTTGATCTAGAATGAAACAAAATAAATAAAAAAATCGAAAAAATAAAAAGGCCACATTTTGCCAATAAGGCTAAAAATTCACGTTTTGTCAACAAGGCCGTGTTGACAAAATGTAAATTTTCAGCCTTATTGGCAAAATATGTTGTGGCATAATATTGGAAACATTGACGCTTAAATCTTTTTCTCTAACTTCCTCTCCCCTACTATTTCTTCTCAAAAGTCTCTTTAAAAAATAAAACAAAAAATTCAAAATATATACTGGACAAAATGCCCATAAGAGCAAAATTTGACATAATGTCAACAAGGCTGGCACCAAAATCGTAATCCTTATAAAATTTTTATTTTCTTTAAATTTTCTAAAAAATTTTTTTTGGCAAGTTTAGATTAAAAAGGTTTGGTAACAATTAGAGTATTTTAGGATTATTAATTTAATCAATATATCTTTTTTTTCAAAATATCTTTCTTTTATTTTTTCTAATGTTTAATAGCTTCACCATCAGCCATATTATTTTCATTATTTTTTAGTAAACGTTCTGCTTGTTGTTTGTCTATAGATAAGGTCATTTTTCTGTGTTGTTCTTCTTCCTCTCTAGCGTAGGTACTGACATAACCTCCTCTTTTAATTTGCATCATTGTATGAGGTCCCAAACGAACGTTGATTTTTGCGCCCATCTAAGAGGGGGTATTTTAGTGATCTTTTAACCTCAGCCGAATCTTGATAACACGACACACTCGATTAGGACGGTCCAGAGACGGGGGGGGGGGGGGGGTGTTAGCAAAATTTGGTCCCAGAAATGTCACTTCCATTAAGACGTCGTCTCATTTCGCTCACAGATGGTGACACGTATTATCGAGATCCGACTAACATTTTCTCTTTACCTTTTCAAAAACAGTCAAATCGTCCTTTTTTGTGATACAATACCAATTGATTATTGTAAAAGAAATTAACTGGAAAATATTATTTTTTAAAATCCTTTCGGAAAAACGCACAAAAACGACGACTGCAAAGATTAGTGCTGCTACAACCGGTCCCATCATATCAATAGCATCAAATTCTTGTTTAGGCATTTTATTTAGGTATTTAGGCTCTGGGAATTAAATTATGTAAAATTACACGAGTTTATTAAAATTATAGAAGTTTCCGGAATTTTCCTGAGCCAGTAAATATATTTTTCCGGAAAGAATGTATTTTCCGGAATAATAAGATTCCGGAAAAATATAATTTCCGGAAAAGGAATAAAATTAAATTTCCGGAAATTACAAATATATTTTTCCGGTTATATATTTCCGGAAAGAATATTTATTTTATTTTTTCCGGAAAGAATATATGTATTAGCCGGAAAGAATATTAAATTTCCGGAAAGAAAATACAAATTCCGGAAACAAATATAATTTCCGGAATCTTCTAGGGAATAATATTTTAGTTCCGGAAAATACATTTTCAGAAAATAAATAAAATAAATTCCGGAAGGAAATGGAGAGTTTTCCGGAAAGAAATACACCTAAAATTAAAAGTAAACAAATACCCACTTTTATTTTTAATAATATGTTCAACACTTTCTTTTCAATCTCTTTACACAAATGCATTTATAAATCGATTTTACTACCACTTTTGACTGGTTGTTGACAGCCACTAAAAATATGGACAGAGCACTCTCAAATTTTAATCTGTCGCCAATAAAAAAACTTGTTTTTTCCTTTTTATCTTTTTTCAACATTTAAAATCTTTAAAAAAAATTTTTTAAATAATTTTTATTAATAATTAATAATTTTAATAATTTTATTATTTTAATAATTTTAAATTTTGAATGATTCCAAGAATTGTAACAGCTAAAATGATGTATTCAACTATTGATAATGCTGGACCAGTTACTTCAACTCTCAAAAATAAATTGACAGAATTTTTTAAGGTGCTTCTTTAAAAGTAAAAAAAAAATAAAGGAAAAAATAAAAATGATTTTAAGGGTGGGTTTCAGGAATCCGGAAATAGGGGAATAATTTCTGGAACCAATCAAAGATAACTTTTAGTTTTCCGGAAAGAATAAATGAAATTTCGAAAAGAGTGAACAAAGCTCTAGAATGAGAAAATAAAATTCCAGAAATAAAATCCGGAAAGAAAATCCGGAAAGAAGTTCAGGAAAAACTCTTCCGGAAGATCCAGAAGGAAATTCCGGAAATAAAACCAGAAATTATTCCGGAAGGAATAAAAAATTCCGGAACTAGAAAATAAAATTCCGGAATGTTTTTCAATAAATATTAGTTCCCGGAAAGTTCTAATTATATAATTTTTGTAGCCTCAACATATCCAAGTTGAATGCGAGAGTCAATTTCATAATGTCCCCAAAGGAACGGAAAAACATTTTCGTGTCCAAATATGTTCTGACAAATTTGAAGGTTTAACACAAATTCAAAGGCAAAGAATGATAAACAAAATTTTGGCTGAAGAATTAAAAAATCAGACAATTCATGCTTTAAGAATTGAAGCAAAAACTCCAGATGAGTGGGATGGGAAAGAACAAGAAAAGGCTCCAGTCTGTTTGGGAGGTGGAAAATCTGTAAAATTAAATTGAAATTTTTGTTGTTTTTATTTATTTTTGGTTGTTTTTGGATTTTATGTATTCTTGACAAAAATAAAAAATTAAATTTCAATAAATAGTCTTAGGGGTAGAAACAAATGTTTTCCGGGATTAAGTTAATAAACTTGTGTTTTTCCGGAAAAAGTTTATAAAAATAATTGATTTCCGGAACATGTTTTCCAAAATTAATTACCTTTCCGGAACATGTTTTTAAGAAATTCTGATTTTTCCCTGAACAGGTTTTTAAAGTATTCTGGTTTTTTCAAAACATGTTTTTAAAAAGTTCTGATTTTTCCTAAACATGTTTTTTAAAATTCTGATTTTTTCTGAACATGTTTTTAAAAAGTTCTGGTTTTTCCGGAGCATGTTTCTTCTATTAAACTAAATAAAACACAAAACATAAGGAAAACAGAACTTAATCAAACAAACAAAAAACATTAGACTGCCTTCATCTCTTTTTTCCTTTCCAAGTTTCTTCCGGCATTTTAGTTACTCTCTATTCTATTAGTACACAAATTCCCAAATAGCGTGCTAATATAGCATGTAAACTATACAAGATTATTTTTTGTTGGAAAAAATTTTAGTAGGAGAGACTTTCATTTGCTCTTCCTTTCAAAGATTTTTTTGATTTTAAAATTATTTTTTGCTCTTTTTTAAGTCAACTATAAATCTGTAAAATTCATAAAAAGACACTACCTCCTAAATGTCCTCAACCAGCAACACAGCCCGTTCTGGAAATGTCCTTGTACTGCTCGATCTCTACACCTCAGGGTTTGCTTCATCCTCCGCCTCCCCAACAATTCCAATGCTTACCTCACTTACAATGCATACACTTTATGCCATTTCTTTGTTAATTTATTCAATAAACTCGTTTTTCAATTGGATATATCTTTACAACCTTTTACAAGGATTTTTGACTTCCTTTTCCCTTCATTTTTGGTTTGTACTTGTTTTGGTAGTTGCTACTGTTTCTGGTTCTATGTTGATTATTTTACTTGTGGTTAGTTTAAAAACATTTGTTTTCATGTTTTAAAAACATTTGTTTTTCCGGAAGAAGTTCATAGAAATATAACTTTCTGAACATTTTTCCCAAAACATGGTTGAAACATGTTTTTCCTGAACATGTTCTTAAAAAATTCTGTTTTTGTTTTCAGGAATATAAAACAAACAAGTTTTTCCGGAAAATGTTTTTAATAGATTCTGATTTTTCCGGAAAATATGTTTCTTACCCTTCTAAAACATTTTCTAAAAACATGTTATTCTGATTATACTTTTAATTAGATGCTTTGTATAGAAAATGCCTTTGTTCATCGCTTGGATGTTGCTGAACACAAAAATGGATTAGCCTTTATTTGGGAGGTATTTCAAAAAATTACAAGTTTTTTTAACTTCAATTTAAACAAAATAAAGGCATTTTCTGAATGGCTACAAGGCTTCAACAACTTTCGTGTTGGCTTTCTCTTTATGGCACTTCACGATGTTCCCATTTCATTAGCTAATTTTTTCTTATTAAGTGCTTGTCGCTGCGGTGGACCACAAGTAAGAGAGAAAAAACATCTTCCGGAATTTAAAATAATAAACTTTAGTTTTTCCGGAAAAAGTTTATAAAAATAATTGATTTCCGGAACATGTTTTTAAAGAATTCTGATTTTCCCAAACATGTTTTTAAAAAATTCTGATGTTTCCGCAACATGTTTTTAATAAGTTTTCCCCTTCAAAAACATGTTTATTTCATATTCTGATTAATAATTCTGATGTTTTATTTAATAAAGGTGTTGCGATGGCCATTATTCCTTTCTGTGTTTGGAACAACATTATCTCTAATTTGGAGGCTTGTTCTCTTATATTTCGCTTACTCTCGCCTTTTATTTCCTTCTAAACATGCCAACAATTCTGGTTTTCCTTCGCGTACTCAATCATTCAGAAATCAAATATTAAACGAACAAAACATTCAAACTTCTCTAGAAACAACAAATAATAACAACAACATTTCTGACGAACATTGCCCCATTCAACTATCTTCTGCCTTGTTTTACGGAACAACAAAACAAGAGGGATGTTTTTGCTTTAAATGTAAAACAAAACAAAAAACAATTTATTTGTATGAACAAGACCCTGGAGAAAAAAGATTTTTGAGTGTTTGTTGCGGGTTTTGGTTGAGTTGCTTTTGCTTTAGGGTAATTTTTTGGTAAAAATTTTTCAAAAAATTTACAAAATTTTTTAAAGGTCATTGGATTACTTTTTTCTCTCATTCGCCGAATTCTCTGCATTTTTACTTCATTAATTTTATTCACTGGATATTTATTACTTGGGTGTACTCCTTGCCTTTATTTTTACTTTTGCCGTGCTAACAGTCTTTCTAAACGTGACAATTTGGCTAAATCACTTGTTAGGCGTTGCACCTTGTATTTTTTAAATATTTTAAATTGAAAAATTTTTTAAAAATATTTTAGTGCCTTCCATTATTTTGTTTTGTTGACGTCTTTATTTTTTAGTATTGGGCTGATCTTCACAAATTTAATTTTATTATCCTCTGTTCATTTATTTGGTCCAAATAATTGGCCTCCAGAAATTAGTAGGGTAAGCTTTTATTAAAAATCCCATATTTTTCTTCAGCTTTGCCTTTCAATCGACCAAAATCGTCAGTTAATCCACCCTATTTTATTGCCTGAACAAACTTCACTTTCATTGCCTCTTTCATCAACATTAAATAATAAATTGCCGTCACAATGTAAATCTTTATGGGATTATCCCCATCCTTTACCTTTAACTTCAAAATGGACACTGGGAATGGCTAGAAGGATTCCTGGTCAGTGGCAAGCTCGAATACCTTTGAAAGTTGATGGAAGCCTTATGCTTGCTGTTAGTTGTTTATATTAAGAAATTTAACAAAAATTTATTCTTACGGAATTTAAAATGAGAAACTTAAGTTTTTCCGGAATAAGTTTATAAAAATAATTTTGACTTCCGGAACATGTTTTTGTTTTAGGAATTAAAATAATACATTTAAGAGTTTCCGGAAACCTATTTTCGAAATAATTATTTTTTCCTAAAATGTTTTTAAAAAATTCTGATTTTTCCTAAAATGTTTTTAAAAAATTCTGATTTTTCCTAAAATGTTTTTAAAAAATTCTGATTCTTCCGGAAAATGTTTTTAAGAAATTCTGATTTTTCAGGAAAATGTTTTTAAAAAATTCTGATTTTTCTGGAAAATGTTTCTAAAAAATTCTGATCTTTCCGGAAAATGTTTCTAAAAAATTCTGATTTTTCCGGAAAATGTTTCTAAAAAATTCTGATTTCACCGGAAAATGTTTTTAAAAAATTCTGATTTTTAGAAATGTTTTTAAAAAATTCTGATTTTTCCGGAAAATGTTTTTAAAAAATTCTGATTGTTCCGGAAAATGTTTCTAAAAAATTCTGCTTTTTCCGGAAAATGTTCATAAAAAATTCTGATTTTTCCGGAAAATGTTTTTTCCTTTCAAAAACATGTTTTTCTCCCTTTCTCAGGTCAGTACCCACTTCATTTCCAACTACACTCAACAACGCTCTCCCCAACATTATGTTTTTTATGATTACGCTCTCCTTAAATTCGGTTCAAACTCGACAAAACCTATTGAATGCAACCGACAAAAATATTCTGGATGGTTGTTTGCTAGCAGTAAATCTGTTCAATTAGGCTTCCCCTATTTTTTGGCCTGTTCTCCCAGTATTTATTTTAGAAAGGCGGCTTTAATTGACTGTAATGCTTTGACTAGAAGATTATAAATAATTCATTAATTCAGTTCTGATTTTTGCATAAAATTATTTTAAGTGAAAGACATTTTCTTTAAAAATTTTTTTTTCATTAAATTCTTCGAGACCCGGATTTTCTCTTGTTTCGCTCCACTTTTCTCAAAAAATTTTTTCTCATCTGCTTTTCACCTTTCAAGTAGTTGTTGCTCCTTTGTCTGTTCAATATCGGTTGTTAAAGGAGGAAAATTGGAGGAGCAAGGGAAGGAGTGTTGTGTTGATATGTTGAGTTTAGGGTGTCATGGCTGTCCTTTTTTAAAGCCTACAAAACAATAAAAATATTTTTTTAATTTTTTAAGTTAAGAAAAGGACCGTAAATGAAGGGATTGAGTAGGGTGTTGAGAAGAACACAAATACGCATCTTGAAAAAATTTTTTTTATTTTTTTATTTTAAACTGCTTATAGATTTTTGACTATTTTTTTATCGAAAAATTTTTTTTTAATTTTTTCTGAAAAAAATTTTTTTTATTCTCACCAATTCCAAATGTACAGAAATTGTAATTTGCAAGTCTCGTGAGAAGAAAGTAGCTAATGCCAAAACTTTAAAAAATTAAATTTTATTAAAAAAGAATTTAATTTAATAAAAACCATTATAAGGTAGCCAACATATCAAATATGCAGCTATTACATGAATAGTTGTTTGAAATATACGAGAACGCATTTCTAGTCTCCAGGCGGGTACTTCTATAATTATTGGAGAGAAAAGTTTTTTTAATTGAATTATAAAAACATTTTCCGGAAAAGTTTAAAACATCTTTCCGGAAGGGTTTTAAAAACATTTTGCTCTTAAAAAGAACTATCTGAACATGTTCCGGAAGGGAAAAACATTTTCTCTTAAAAACAACGATCCGGACATGTTCCTGAAAGGGAAAAACATTTTCTCTTAAAAACAACGATCCGGACATGTTCCTGAAAGGGAAAAACATTTTCTCTTAAAAACAACGATCCGAACATGTTCCGGAAGGAGGTTTTAAAAACATTTCTCTTCTCCTAAAAACAACGATCTGAACATTTTCCGGAAAAGGGAAAAACATTTTTATATTAAAAACAACGATCTAAACATGTTCCGGAAGGATTACAACTTTCGAAAAAATAAATAAACATTTTCCGGAATTTCCTGAATCTTTTCTCTTACTAAGTTTTTTTGATGGTTGAGCACAAAGAAGGTTAGCATTAGCTAACGTCGAATCACCCCCACTTAACTGACATGCTGGTGAAACAGAAGATTCTAAAGTTGTGCTAGGCCAAATACTCGAACTGAAACAAATTATTTAAATAAATATTAATTAATTTCAACCTACTTTTCATTACACATGTTTGGGACAACTAAAAGCGTGCTGTTGTAATTTTCGTTGTTTTTGCTAATGCTGCTTCGATTTAAATGTACGCTATTTAAAGGGTGTTGGTCAAAAGATGGCCTAGAAAACACGGAGGATGGTGCACCTGCTCCTGTAGTTGTGGTAGAATAAAGTGAAGCAGCTGAAGGACGAGCGGTGCTAGGCCTTAGGGAGTACAGAAACAAAAATAAAACAATGTAAACATAAGCAGCGAGAATTGCGAGAAAGGGCAGCCAAAATACGGTGAGTAAATGAAGCAAGGTGTAAATCTTTTCTCCGGTGAAGCTTTCCTTTAATGAGTTTTATTATTTTTCGTAAAACAAGTTTGTTTGTATTTAAGTTTATGAAACATTCTACGAATGTTCATATCGATAGAAATAATGTTCAGATTTCTTAAAACATGTTTTTCCGAAAATTGTTTATAAACATTTTCCGGAATGTGTTTGCAAAACATTTTCGGGAACACCAAACATTTTCCGGAAAGTTTATAAAACATTTTCCGGAAAATTAAAATTTTCCGGAATGTTTGCAAAAACATTTTTTTAGAACAACGAACATTTTCCGGAAACTTTTATAAAAACATTTTCCGGAATATTCCCAACAGAAAACTCACCGTTGGTTCGCCCCCATGAATGTATTCAATTGCACGTATTTTATGCCAAATAGTAGTACATTGGGACCTAGAATGTTTTTTCTATTTTTTATGGAACCGTTTTTGTATTTTTTACCATGTTCTCATATCTATTGTAGTCCACACAAACCATTGGGGAACTGAAACTAGAGCAGCACCAACATAAGAAAGTAGAATTAGACGCTGAAAGATTATGATGGTGAGTCGCTGCAAGCAGGATATAAATAAATGGACCGGCCCCTAGAAACAAATTTATTTACCTTAACAAAACGTATTTGTCTAGAAGCAACAGCTCCAGCCATTTTGCCTGTTTTTTCCATTCTCATAAGTCCGTAAACTGTTCTAAGCCGGTCTAAAGCAATGCTGAGAACGCCAAAAGACATTAAATGGAAGCAAAAATCCCTGGAGAAATTTAAAACGAAATTTCGAGAAAATACGAAATTTCGGAAATACCAGCTGTACTGCATTGCCTTGCAGAGAAACTCCCCAGCACTCCAAGTATAACCAACTAACCAAGCAATATGTGAGGGACAGTAACAAAGGATGACTAGCAAATCAACAACAGTTAGATGAAGCTTTAACCATAGAAAATTGGTTCGGGTAACTTCTTGCTACAAAATAAGGAAATTTTACATTGAAGTTTGTTGAAAGATTGAACAGAAACAACGTTTAACTTTCTAAAACATGTTTTTCCAGAAATGTTTATAAAACAAAAACATTTTAAAAACATTTTCCGGAAATTAAATGAAGTTTTAACATAGAATGTTTTTCCGGAAATGTTTTTAAAAAAAGTTTTCCGGAAATGTTTTAAAACATCTTCCATAACATCAAATGTTTTCCGGAAAAGTTAATAAAACATGTTTTATAAAACATCCTTATAAAACATTCAAACATTTTCCGGAAAGTTTATAGGTCAAAAACATTTTAAAAACATTTTTTCCGGAAATGTTTTAAAACATTTTTCAAAACACCAAATGTTTTCCGGAAAAGTTACTAAAACATTCTTTATAAAACATCCTTGTAAAACATTCAAACATTTTCCGGAAAATGTTTACAAAACATTCCGGATTAAATAAAAACAAACAAATTACCCTCGAAATTCTGGAGGAGCATTTCCTTGGATTAAGAAAGGACGAATTAGTCCCTCCAAGTTGTTTGCTGAGGGCAACAGCATTTAAAGGAAGACCAAAAATTAAAAGTAATCCCAAAAGTAATAATTCAACCCAATCTGCTGCCAACTTTAATTTAAAAAATTTTTTAAATTAATTTTTAACAAACAACACCATTTCCGGCCTAGCAATTCCCCCTTGTTCGTCAAGTTCGAAAGCATTACTTTGCTGTTGTTGAGTATTAATGTTGTTGTAGATAGTATTACTGCTGTTATTAATGTTTTCTATTGTTATTTCATTCATATCATTTTTTTAAAGTTTTGTTAATGGCTAGAAAATTAAAAAAAAATTTAATTTGCTTCAAGTTTCCTTTGAAAAATTTTTAGGCCTTAAAACACCGCTGAGACATCTACTTAAAAACATCTTATAATCATGTTTTTAAATTAAAAAACACAAACATTTTTTTAAAACATAGTCAAAATAAACATACCCCGGAAAACATCTAAACATGTTTTTCTAGTCTATATTCTCATACGAACATTTATATGTTTGACGAACATTTCCGGAAATAATTAACATGTTTACGGAATATGTTTCTATTGTCTATAGCTTAAAAGAAATGTTTGTGTTTCTAAATTTTTTCCGGAAAAACATTTGAAATGTTTGTATTATTTTAAATGTTCATTTTATCCTGGTTTAATAAAAACAGGCATGTTTTTTAATTAAAGTTTTAATTTGTTTTTCTGTTTGTTGTTCTCTTAAACATGATAATTAAATATATTCTTAAAATGAGGAATTTAAACAAAACAAAAAACAATAAAAATATTTATTTTATGGGTGTGAGAATAAAATGATAATTAAAGTTTAACACAATGTGTAGGGGGTTGCTTTTATTATTCTTCATTCATGCCTTGGGCGTTAAACAGCTTTTTATTTATTTTAGTAAAAAATGTTTTTGAAAGTAACCAAAAATATTAATATTTTTTTATAATTTTTATGAGGGGTGTGAGAGAAAATTTTAAAATAAATTGTGTTTAAATGTTTTGGGGGTGGTCTGTTCGCACAGTTTTTTGTGAATAAAATAAGACTGGGAGAGAGAAAAAATATGGCATTTTGGAAGTAAACGAAGCCTTAATATGGCATTATTTGAAAAATGAAATTTTAATTTGTTGGGAAATTTTTTTAAGAATTAATTAAAATAAGACAGACAAATAATTTTAAAAAAGGCATTTAATATGTTAATGTTTTAATAAAATGTTTTCTTAATAAAATGTTTGTTTAATAAAATGTTGTCTTCCGGAAACATAAGATGTAGAAAAAGATAGAAGATTAAACAAAACATTTAAAGATAAAAGGATGTTTGTGTGTTGTTTTAATGTTTTCCGGAATGTTTAGATAAACATTTGTTGGGGGAAAATAGATGTTTGTTTGCGAACATTCTTTCCGGAAAATGTTTTGATTAAAATTAACCAAAAACATTTTTTCGAAAAACATTCTCTTTAATTTTCATCAAAATATTTTCCGGAAACTTTTCCCCCCAAACATTTTCCGGAAACTTTTCTCCTCAAACATTTTCCGGAAACTTTTCTCCTCAAACATTTTCCGGAAACTTTTCCCCCCAAACATTTTCCGGAAACTTTTCTCCTCAAACATTTTCCGGAAACTTTTCTCCTCAAACATTTTCCGGAAACTTTTCCCCCCAAACATTTTCCGGAAACTTTTCTCCTCAAACATTTTCCGGAAAGAATATTCGCAAACTTAAAACATTTACTGTATTTAAAACATTCATTTAAAACATTTTCCGGAAAACATGTGTATATTCGAATAAAGAAGAATAATACTAAATTGAGTAAGCGGACATAAAATAAAATTTAAAAAAAACATTTAAAATTTTCTACC